CGGCGCCGCGGCGGCAGGACCCTCGAGTTCCTGATACGCTGGAAGGGATACGACCCCACTGAGGACAGTTGGGTTGCAGAAGCTGATATGGGCAACGCACGCCGTGCTCTCAAGGACTATCTTGTCAAGCAGGGTGTATCTCACGCCACCCAGCTTTGAGGGGGGGACGTGTGAGAGTACGACGGCTTATGCCAGCTATGCTTGCTTGCCTTTATTTTATTATGCTATTTCTAGCATAGGAAAATTATATGCATGCATGAATTGCTTGATTTCCTAGGCTAGGTGCTTTCCTATATTTTATTATAGTTATAGCACCGAGCTAGGTTGCGTGCACCGAATTCTGGCTTTTCGGTTGCCACCGAATTGCCTTCTACCGAATTCGGGAAGGATCTGTTCGGGATGCTTCGCGACCCGCGGAACCTTCGCGTAACACCTGGTTACGGGGCCTTGTGTCGAGCCTATATATAGCCTCGTGTTGTACCCAGGTGATCAATTCAATTCACATTCTCTTTTCCGAGCTCGATCCTAGATCCTCACAACGCGCCTCTTGAAAAGGTGTACAGCGACATCCTGTACAACCGCGCCCCCGGGCAGAACGCGTACAACTACACCATCCCGTTCATCGACGCAGCAACACGTTACGTCTGGCATCTCAACCTTCCGAGCAAGGACATGGCCCTCGAAGCCTTCGTCCCGTGGCTCCCCGTAGCAGAAAGGGAATCGGGCGTCAAACTAAAGAGCTTCCAGTCAGACGGAGGAGGAGAATACACCTCACAAAGGTTCAAGCAGTATCTGGCAGAGAGAGGAATCAAGCGGCTCGTTTCCCTTCCCTACGCCCATCAACAGCAAGGTGTAGCAGAAAGGATGAACAGGACCCTCCAGAACACCATGCGGAAACTGTTACGTGGCATGCGGCTACCCAACCACCAGTGGCCCGAAGCAATGGACCACGCCGTGATGCTGCACAACTTGCTTTCTTCGTCGTCACTTCCGAACAACGCATCACCGCATCTGCTGTGGACAGGAAAACTGGGCAGCACAAAAATGTACGAGTCTTCGGCTGCATGGTACAGTATCGACCTCCATCTGCACGAGCAGGACGATTCTCCCAACGAGCACAGTGGGGATTACACCTGGGCATCAAAAAACACTACAACGCATGGAAGATTTTCGATGTCGAGACAAAAGAAACAGTGGCAGCACGTGATGTCATTTTCTACGAGCGACTCACACTGCCGACGTACCTTGCCAACCTGGACGAAAACCGAGACCCCACAGGTGGCTTCCGTGGAGACCGAGCCTTCGCTTCGGCAGAAGACGAAGCTGACTGGGACGAGCAGAACGTGGAAGGAGCCTCGGAAGAAGCCGGACCCCTTCCCTACTGCTCCGTCAACGTGCCAATGGACGACGAAAACCCACGCGAAAGCATCAACGCCGAAACCTACTACCATTTCGCTGACAACGGTTACGTTACACCTGCGCAAGTAAACACCGACGAAGCAGAACGCGTAGGACCCAACTTCGCACCTGATCCAGAAGCGGGAGACGAAGCTGCTTATCCCGCGGACATGTCACTCCCCGCTACACACAGAGTGGACTTCAGATACTTGGGCTCGTTACCACAGTCCACGGCACGGCCGTTCCTAAGGAGCCTGCGACGGTTCAGCAGGCTCTGGGGGGGGAGCATAGGGAAAAATGGCGCGAATCCATGGACAAAGTTCTGAAGGCATTAGAGGAGCGCAACACGTGGAAAATTGTCCCCATCGGCGTAGCACGGAACAAGACCATTCTCACCGGGAAATGGGTCTTCCGCGTGAAGACGAAGGCCGACGGCACCATTGACAAATTCAAGGCACGCTGGGTCGTGCGCGGCTTCGACCAAGAACACGGGCGAGACTTCACCGAAACCTTCGCTCCGGTCAGCCGACACACTTCGCTCCGAATCCTTCTCGCGATCGCCGCCATGAAGAAAAAGAAGTTGCGGCAAATCGATGTCGCGAATGCATTTCTCTACGCACCTGTTGACGCAGAAATTTTCGTGGAACTACCGCACGGCACCAACGGGGAGCCCAACCAAGTCTGTCAGCTGCTGAAGTCGCTCTACGGGATCAAGCAAGCTCCGCGGCTATGGCAGCAGTACCTGCACGCTTGCCTCATTCGCATCGGCTTCAAGCAATTACCACACGATCAGGGGATGTATCGACTCACGAAAGGCGCAGATTACATCCTGCTAATCGTCTACGTAGACGATCTCCTCTACATCGGCTCAACCGACAGCGTCACTACCTGGTTCGAAGGGGAGCTGCAGCAGGACCTCACGCTGAAAGTCTCATCTACCGTCACACAGTACCTCGGGCTCAACATCCGGGAAGAGGAAGATGCTATCTACCTCAGTGCCGAGAAATACGCCGACACCATCGCCAAGCGCTTCGCACTCACACCAACTGTCATCTCTATACCGTACCGCTACACAACAGGAAACAACAAGGAAGGCTCCACTCTACTTAAGCCCGCCGGCATACGCGACTACCAGAGAAAGCTGGGCTGCCTTCACTTCGCAGCTGTCACCTGCCGCCCAGATCTATCGTACTCTGCAAGCCAGCTCGCCACCTACCTCAAGAGGCCCGAAGCGGAACATCTAGCAGAACTCGACCGCGCTCTTCACTACCTCATTAGCACCCCGACAATTGGTCTAACTTACTACAAGAACGCAACTACGCCGCCTAAGTTAATCGGCTACGTCGACGCCGATCACGCTGGCGATTCCGAAAACAGGCGCTCTCGCACCGGCTACATTTACCGCCTCGAACCTATCGGACCTATCTCTTGGCAATCGAGCAAGCAGGAATTAATCGCCCTCTCGTCAGCTGAAGCAGAATATATTGCACTCTGCTCAGCCACCAAGGAAGGACTTTACCTTCGCGAACTGCTGGAAGAAGCGAAGCTGGCTCAGTTACCCAACTTCACTCTGTTCTGCGACAACCAGTCGGCAATTCGCATTGCCAACAAGAACGGCTTCGCGAACAGGACGAAACACATCGCCCTTCGATACTTCTTCGTGAAGGACGAGATCGAAAAGGGAAGGCTCGAGCTGTCATACTGCCCCACGTCCAAGATGGCAGCTGACTACTTGACCAAGAAGCTCGGAAAGCAGAAGTTCGAGTACTGCATGCTGCTGACTGGACAAAGACACGTCACCAGCAGCGACACTCCAGAAGCGAAGGGGAGTGTTGGAAACAATTGTGGTTAATCGCCTCTGTCGTGTCGAAACACTAAGGCACAAGCGAAGCAAAGCATATCGAGGTACCAGCGAGTCAACCCTCGGAGGTTGAAGTAACTGCTGGAGGTTACGCGAAAGTCAAAGGTCAGCAACCTTTGACCTGACAAGTACAGCGCGACAGCAAGGACACACAACTGACTCGCTACAGAGCAGTTGCCCGAGTCGTCACTGTATCGAACCGCAACAGCAACAGTAAAACAGTTATAACCGTATCCTTTCATATTCCTTGTACTCTTATATAATCTTGTATCTCTTTGTTTTAATCAACTTACTTTGCCCTCACATACTAGCGCAAGGTGGTTCACAATCTCTTCATTAAACGCTTCCGCTATTACATTGATCCTACCCAGAGTTCACCCCTGCAAAGATCCTAAGGGCTTTTTCTCAGCCCAACATCATCTTCTTTGTGATTCCAAGGGCTATTAGCAACAATGGATTTTCATCTACCTTACAACAGATTCAAATTTCATCATTTTTATGATTTTATATTACCGTACCGTATGGCCATTGGTCTTCCTGGGAATGCCACTTACCTAAGGGCGTGTTCCCATGGCCTCGTAACAGGAAATCTCGTATCAAGAATGTACTTTTTGCCTGGTAAAACTAGCAAGAGGTTTCGGGTTAAGGAGAATTTTCAGTGTGAGCGTGATACGAGGTTGTCTTAATCAGGGCCTCAGATTCACTTTTAGGGCTGAAAATCAGTGTTCCTAAAAAAAAAGCCTGAATTCTCAGGGTTTCCCAAGAAAAAAGCCTGACTTTTTCTCGCATGATTTTCTTTAGTGTAAATCCTGAAACTGTATCAGTCGCAAGTCTCGAATCGAGGACCATACCCTTCGGCAGCTATCCAATAACAACTGAGACAGTTCGCCACCGAAATATAAAATTAGTGAAGGCCGTCCCACCTTGAAATCGCTGCGATGAGTTCGGCTGATATAACACTGTTCCAAACAAAACGGTTAGGCAGGTTGAAGTAATCTGATTGGCTCACACACCAATCTGAAACAAGACTCGACGTTGACGTCGGAAGGGTTGCGTAGAGCTGTGTAAGGAACATTATGAAAGAGTACAATATAATCATATTTTGCTTAAAGAAGCAACTAATTAAGTTCTTCATTTTAACGTAAAACAGGACACCGTATATGGTGCTTCGTTCTGCGCTAGCAGAAATACCGGTATGTATTTTTTGTTTTTAAGTTTACTTCAAAAATTTGAAGATTGTGATTCGACTAGAAGAGGAGTTCGCTGTAAAGGAGACAAGCTCCTTCACATTCTCACAGGTCCGAGGGACCTGCCACCTAGTCTCATTCTCATTTTCAGATCTTGATTCGCTTCCCACCCTACCCAAGCCCTTTTTAGTAACATTTACCTCATGATATTCGTTTGTTCTTATTTGTATTACCAATTCGAGTGTGTTGTATAATTGAGATTTGAAAACCTATGACGACTGCACTGCACACTCCTCGGAGAGTCGTGTCACAATTGTATCGTTCTGCGGTGGCAGAAATTGTCTTGTTCTGCGCTGGCAGAAATTCTAATTCTGCGCTGGCAGAAAATTTATCTCTGCGCTGGCATCCGTCCCTTTCAGAGCTGTCAACTCAATTTCTGCGCTCTTTTCTTGGTTCTTTTGTTCTGGTTCCTCTCGACTCGACAAGCACACCTGCTCTGCTCTTACTCCTCTTCCTTCCCCCCACCCCAATTTCTCGCCAGTTCTCCCACCCAGCCGTCGCTCTCGCTCCCATCCCGCCGTATCCTCTCCCTCACTACCCGCCTTCACCTCTCCTATTCACCTCACAGTCACTCAGTCCCACACCGCGATCTCCTCTTCCTTACTTCCCCGTCGTCGCCTCTCCCTCCTCCCCGTCATCGCCTCTCCCTCCTCCCCGTCGTCGCCTCTCCCTCCTCCCCGTCGTCGCATCTCCCTCCTCCCCGTCGTCGCCTCTCCCTCCTCCCCGCCGTCGCCTCTCCCTCCTCCCCGCCGTCGCCTCTCCCTCCTCCCCGCCGTCGCCTCTCCCTCCTCCCCGCCGTCGCCTCTCCCTCCTTCCCGCCGTCGCCTCTCCCTCCTCCCCGTCGTCGCCTCTCCCTCCTCCCCGCCCTCGCCTCTCCTTCCTCCCCGCCGTCGCCTCTCCCTCCTCCCCGCCGTCGCCTCTCCCTCCTCCCCGCCGTCGCCTCTCTTAGAGTTAGGTGAGAATGATTGGATTGGGAGGAGGTTGGGGTACAAGCCTAGAGTGTCGAGATGATTTTGTGTACCCCCTAAGGCTAGCCCCAATATAGCCTAGATAATAACATACATATGTTTGACACACCCCCATAGGCGAAATGGGGGATAGCCAGAGCAAGGAATGGTCACAAGACCAGTCAAGAGAAGAAACAAAACACAGCTCAGGGTGGATCACAAAGTCACCACACACACTGAGCACAAGCAAAGGGCCACAAGGCCAGTTCATATGTAGAGGAATATATGCAACAAGAACAGTACAGTGATCTCTCCCTAGCAAGAGCAGACATGCAGGAATATATATAGATCACAGTACAAGCAGAGTCTACAGCAAGTGTGGAAACGTAGGTACAAGACCCAACAAAGTACAAAAGCGCTGATGGTCACCACACGGAAGTACCTTGGTGAATATATCAGCAGTGTTGGCCCGAGTGGCCACGTGAGCAAGACGAAGCTGACCACGCTGCTGCAACTCTCGAGCCAGGAAGTAACGCAGAGCGATGTGCTTTGTTCTGTGCTCCAGTCTGTGCTCCTGACACAAGGCAATGGCAGCCTTGTTGTCGACGTACAGAACTGGAGGAGAACGAGGCCTCTCTCCCAAGTCGGTCAGCAGGTAGGTGAGCCAGCGTAGCTCCTGTGCAGCCATGGCTGTGGCGTAGATCTCAGCCTCACAACTGGAGCTGAGAACCGAAGACGAGCGTGTAGACCGCCACGAAACAGAGCCAGAGCCAAGGCTGAACGTGTAACCCTGTGACGACCGCTGCGTAACCAGGTCGTCAACCCAAGAAGCGTCCGAGTGCCCAGTGAGGACAACTGGGCTCCGTCCTCCAAACACGAGCCCCATGCCCGATGTACTGCACAAGTAGCGCAGTACCCTCTTAGCAGCAGCCATGTGCTCTGGTCGGTGCCTACAAGGAGCCACGTAGCGAGCGAGAAGACCAAGAGGGTACGCAAGGTCAGGACGAGTGCAGGTCATCAGGTACATGAGGCAGCCCACTAGCTCTGGGTACGGACCACTCGGCTCTACGGACTCGTCCGAAGGTGGAGCTGAGGGCGAGTGACCTGTAGCCAGAGGAGTGGACTGTGGCGAGGACCAGGTGAAGCCGAAGCGCTGAAGGACCTGCTGCACCATGTGTGACTGAGTTAGTGTGATGGTGCGGCGTGCTCTGTCCCGGGTGATCTGCAAGCCAAGGTAACTGCGCAGCTCACCCAGGTCTGTGCACGTGTGTCTCTTCTGCAGCTCCGACTTCACCAGAGCGAGAGCCTCAGTGTCAGCAGTGGCAAAGACCAAGTCGTCGACGTACAGGAGGATGTAGAATGGCAGCAGCGAAGTGTCAGTGCGTAGAAACAGCGACGGGTCAGAAGTGGAAGGAGCGAACCCAAGAGCCACAAGTGTAGTCCTTAGTGTGTCGTGCCACTCACGAGGCGCCTGGCGGAGACCGTAGACTGGCCGCCAGAGGCTCCACTGGGTACCAGGAGGGAACGACCCAATGAAGCCAGGTGGGCGGCGCAGCCAGATCTCCTCGTGCAGGCTGCCCTGTAAGAACGCTTTGCTAAAGTCCAGAGAGTGAAGCTCGTAGTCACGCTGAGCGGCAACGTGCAGCAGCACCCGAAGAGTGGTCATCTTCGGGGTGGGGGAGAAGGTCTGGAAGAAGTCAACTCCCTCCCGCTGACTGAAGCCTCGAGCAACGTAACGAGCCTTGAAGACAGGCGGAGAACCCGGCGGCCGCTTCACCCTGAAAATCCACATGCCATCGAGGATGTTCGCCCCAGGAGGGGGAACCTCATCGACGTAAGTGCCTGTGGACTTCCAGGATGCCATCTCTGCGTCCATGGCTGTCTGCCACTGAGAGGAGTACTCACCCGCGATCGCCTCAGCGTAAGAGCGCGGGGTCGGGATGTCTGGTGCATCCGGGTCTCCCTCAGGGGCAAGCAGCATGGCCACGAGACGAGGCGCAGCGGCTGCAAGACACGCAAGGTCCTCGTGCCTGTCCTCAAGGACGTCCGTGCTAAGAGCACACTCACCCCCGACGGACGGAGGACAGACAGACGCAGACTCAGCAACAAGACTAGCGGCGTAGTCTAGACGACAGGCAGGAGCAGAGTCAACAAGCTCAGCAACCAAGGCAGACGCAGCAGTAGACTCAAACGACGGGTCAGTGACAACAGTGGCTAACAGACGCGTGACAGTAGGGTGCTCAGCACGAAACCGGTCAGACTCAGGGTCCGCAACGTCAGGCAGAGAGGACGCAGGGGGAGACGGCAGAGGAACAGGCTGCGGAGCAGAGGAAGGACGACGGACTACGAGGTGTGCGCCGGAGATAGCCGGCTGACGCGAACGAGGAACACGACGACCGGGACGACCAGTGTGGGCAGTGCGAACAGGCGAGACAGGACGCGACGCAGGCTCACAACGCTCAGCAAGACTGCCCGGCTGCTCAATGTAAGGTGAAGGAGCGGGCAGCGGTGAGCCAGGCTGTAACGGAAGACCAGTAGACGACGGGAGGGTAAGAACCTGACGCAGCACAGAGTCAGGCGGCGGCAACGACGACGGAGACGGCGGAGCGAAGAACAGTCGTGGCTGCACAGTGCCACCAGCACCAGCAGCTCCAGTACCCCCAGCAGCTCCAGCACCTCCAGCAGCACCAGAACCGCCAGCTCCAGTCTATCGAGTGTGAGTACCACCAGCAGCTCCCGAACCTCCAGCGGCAGCACCTCCAGCGCCAACACCACCAGCAGCTCCCGAACCTCCAGCGCCAGCACCTCCAGCGCCAGCACCACCAGCAGCTCCCGAACCTCCAGCGCCAGCACCTCCAGCGCCAACACCACCAGCAGCTCCCGAACCTCCAGCGCCAGCACCTCCAGTACCAGCACCACCAGCAGCAGCACCCCCAGAACCGGGGACCCTAGCCTCAGTGTCCCCAGCAGCAGCACCCCCAGACGTAGGACCTCCAGCCCCAGCAGCTCCAGTACCCCCAGTACGAGCACCTCCGGGACCAGGGACTCCAGCACCTCCTGAAGACAAAGTACCAGCACCACTCCCAGCTCCAGCGACGTCAGAAGAAGCACCTCCAGCAGCAGAGCCCCGAGCCCCTGCAGCACGACCCTGACGGCGACCGTACCAGTCGTGCAGCTGCTGTGAGGTGAGAGGCACACGCGGACGAAGGCGGCCACTCCAAGGAAACCGCGCAGCAGCAGGCTCGGCACCCGCAGGCGCCTCATCCCCAGACTCAGCACCCCCAGGCTCCTCACGCTCAGGCCCAGCACCCCCAGACACAGCACGCCCAGGCTCCTCACGCTCAGGCTCAGCACCCCCAGGCTCGGCACCCCTAGACTCAACACGCTCAGGCACACCACCCCCAGACTCCGTACCCCCACGCTCAGCACCCCCAAGCTCCTGTCGCACAGGCTCAGTACCCCCAGTCGCAGCACCTCCAGGAACAGCACCCCGAGCAGAACCTGAGTCACCAGTGACCTCAACAGGCGCAGGCACAGGAGGGTCTGCCTGAGAAACACCTGAAGGAGCAGGACCTGGCGCGGGGAGGGGGGGCACCCGGGAAGGACCTGGAGCGAGCGCGAGCGGCGGCAGGGGGCGAGGGGCAGTGCGGTAGGGAAAGAGACGGTAAAAGGGGACCGACTCGTCAAAGGTGACGTCCTGAGACGCAAAGACACGACGTGAGGTGGGGTCGTAGAACTGCCAACCTGGCGCGTCAGTAGGAAAGCCAAGGAAGACACAGGGGATGGCGCGAGGGGAGAGCTTGTCCGCGGTGGTATCGCGGACAAAGGCACGAGCACCCTAGACCCGGAAACGCGACGCATCGCCAACCTTCCCCGTCCACAGTAGTGTGGGCGAGGTCTCCGGGAAGGAGACACGGGGCCAGAGGTTGAGCTGACGCGCGGCGTACCGGACCGCAAACAGCCACAGAAGATGGGGGGCAGCCGCATGGATCATGGAGGTACGAGCGACCTCCATGACTAAACCAATGCGGCGCTCAGCAACCCCATTCTGCTGCGGAGAGGCCGGAAGCGTGAACGACTGGGTGATGCCGTGCTCCGCACAGTAGGCTGCCAAGAGGTCGGAGGAGAACTCACCACCTCTGTCAGAGTGCAGACGCAGGACTGGAAAGTCCCGCTCGAACCGCTCGCGAAGCTGGAGACGAGCAGCGCGGATCCAGGGGATCAAAACAGCAGGGACGTTCCCCTTGCTGCGCAAGGGGAAGACCGTGGTGTAACGCGTGTAGTCGTCGACAACCAGCAGGAAGTACCGCTCGCGGCCGTGCCCCTGGACGCGGGCTGGGCCCCACACGTCCAGGTGGAGCGTCTGCAGTGGAGCCTCTGTGGGAGGAAGGAGGAGGAGTGAGGAGCGGCGCGCTACCGCCCCTCGACGCAGGGAATGCAGGGCGGTGCAGGCGAGGGAGGGAGGGCAGGCAGAGACCTGGGAAGCCCAGAGACCAGGGAGCGAGAGTGCATACCACGCAGGTGAGGCAGGGAGGGGTGACCAAGGCGGTGGTGCCACAGGAGAGTGTCGTGCGACAGGCGGTGACACTCACACTGGGTAGCTACCTGAGCAGACGCGTACAGCTGTGGAGACAAAGGAGTGTAGCGCGACGCGGTGGTGAGGGTGTACAGACTGGACCCAGGCGCACGTGTGAACGTGGCCAGGTGACGACCGGTCTGAGTGCACGTACAGATCGCCACACGCTGCAGTCCAGGGGTGAAGGTATCAACCCCCGCATCCTGAAGAGCAGCGTTGCTCACCAAGTTCGTGGAGAACGAGGGGAGGTGGAGACCAGACAGCTCGCCAGACGGGACCGCCGGGCACGGAAGCAGAGTCGTGGCTCGTGCAAGCACTGGGCCCCAGAGGGGTCAGCCAGTGAGACAGGGACAGGTGCAGGGAGGGGAGTGACCGTTGTACTGTCGCGAAAGAAGCAGCGGGAAGCACCTGAGTCAAGTGTGAAAG